GTAGTTAATATGATGCCCTAAACATCGGTGGTCATGAAATACCAGAAATTCGTTATGCTGATGATACAGTATTACTATCAACATCACAAAATGGTTTAGAAAACTTATTAACCTCACTCCAAAGAAATAGTGAAAATCATAACTTATTTCTTAACATAGTAAAAACAAAGATAATGCATACAAACAAAACTGCCATGGAGAAGGAAATATATGTTAATGAGGAAAGATTGGAAGTGGTGGAAAATTTCGAATATCTTGGGTCACTGGTTACCAACAATGGTGACACAATGAAAGAAATTAAACGGCGACTATCAATTGCTCTTCAAAGACTAAAACAACTAAATAAATTATGGAATTGTACAGATAGAATTACAAAGGTCAGATTTTTAAGAGCATGCATCTTTCCCATTGCAACATACGCCTGTGAGACCTGGACATTTACTAAACAAGCGGAACAGCGCATAAATGCATTTGAATATAAATGTTACAGACAGGTTCTAAGAATATCTTGGGTAAAGAAAAGAACAAATGCATCCATACTTCAAGAGCTGAATATTGAAGAGGGTTGGCTAGTGAAGACAATAAAACAAAGAAAATTGAAATATTTTGGTCACTTGAAATGTCATGGAAGTCTAGAGAGAACAATAATGGAGGGGTATATGCCTGGGAAGAGAGGAAGAGGAAGGCCAAGGAGAAGATGGGTGCAGGATGTGGCAGATGATCTCCAGATGGGTGTATCAGACGCAGGACATCTTGCTCAGGATAGGAAGGTTTTCCGGAGGGTTGTTATGGCAGCGAGGTTCCGCGAGGGACATGCTACAGAATGAATGAATGAATGTATTGTAGTTTACAACTTTGCTTCGATATCTGCTCCTTACGGTTCAGCATCCGATTTCAGCACATCCTTATTGTTTGCTTTTTACGGCATGCTTCTCAAGGGTCAGTGGATGCATACTTTTTTTTCCCACCCGCCTAACATGGGACCCGGAACGCATATATTTCTAAAAATGTGTCCAAATAATTTTGAATGACATCATTTTAATGAGGGTAATCTCATCTTTTTGTGGGGGTAATTTCCTCCATGTCTTCGTTAAACTTTTCATCTGTTCACTGAGTCTTCCACACACTACTACCAGTTCCATCTATGTATGCATCCAGGCGGTCCGTGCGGTAGATTTTCTCAATGCCATGCAAATCTTAGAAACTCCGTCTCCTAAACTGTATTTTGATTTCGCTGCTTATGCCGCCTCCCTTACGATGCACCCTGATGCGGCCTATCTCTGTGTTATTGCACGGCGCGGCATTCATGAAATTAATTCTACAGTGGGAAGTCGCTGTGGCATATCGGCTAGACGCTGGCGTGCGGATCGGAAAGTCGTGGGTTCGCTCCCTGGCGAATGGGAAGGTCGTTGGTTCGCTCCTTGGCAGAGCCAGATAAAAAAAAAAATTACCCCGACTCACAGGTCGAACCAGCCTTAGTGGGTACTGGGTGCAGTCCCGGGAAGTAAAGGCAACCGGCGTGATGCTGACCACGTCATCCATCTTGTCGATTGATCAATAAAATTCTAGATCTAGCCCTATATGCCCTATACGCCTAAAGGCGTGGAAAGGGGTCCTTTACTTATAATTGTACTCTAGCACACATACAAGGGCCAGCAAATCAAGGCAGAACAAATAAATACACCCAAGTAAGTAAACCGAATTAACTCTTTCATGTTCAAAGACATAACGGCGGCAGGCGTCAATATTAAGTGTCCCACAACAAGATGACACAATCATCTGTAAAAATAATATGACAGAATCAAACGCAAATGGTTGCTCCAAATCAACCAAATAATTCACATTCCTTCTCATTTGACACAATCTTCCCGCCACAATATCGACAGCGCTTGTCCCCTAGAATGGCGCGCTCAGACAAACTCCGACGTAAATTTGGCGGGCCCGACACTGAGCATGTGAGCGCGACAAATTATTGTTCATTAGTTTGTCGCGATTTGTCTCTTGCATATATATATATATATATATATATATATATATATATATATATATATATATATATATATATATATATATATATATATATATATATATATATATATATTCCTATTTTAACCTTGCAGATTTGTCTTGAAGATTAAAAAAAAAGTAATTTTGACTTGTAAATAAAATTGCTTCAGAGCTTTTTGTACTCTCTTGGGGTGCTTTATTTCTAACGTGTTTCTTTATTAAAACCAGAATAGCTGTATAATATTGTTTTTGGTACATTTATAATTTTAGATACTTTTGTGCCTTCTGTTTTTCTATTTTAAAATATTTATTATTCCCTGCCTATGACGTGATATCATCTTCTTATTCTTTGTTCACTGGCTGTAAGCTCCGGCAGAAAGTCCTAGTTGTTCATCCATTTGGACTTTGGCTTTGTGCCAAGGCCTGAGTTTTGTGTGTACATCCGTTTTAATGGCTTATGCGTATGCAGTTGGTGTGCAGGAAGCTACCGTTTAGTCAACTCCTTCGACATGCTTGTTGGTGTGTGTGCAGGAAGCTACGTTTAGTCAACTCCTTCGACATGCTTGTTGGTGTGTGTGCAGGAAGCTACGTTTAGTCAACTCCTTCGACATGCTTGTTGGTGTGTGTGCAGGAAGCTACCGTTTAGTCAACTCCTTCGACATGCTTGTTGGTGTGTGTGCAGGAAGCTACGTTTAGTCAACTCCTTCGACATGCTTGTTGGTGTGTGTGCAGGAAGCTACCGTTTAGTCAACTCCTTCGACATGCTTGTTGGTGTGTGTGCAGGAAGCTACCGTTTAGTCAACTCCTTCGACATGCTTTTTGGGGAATCAGTTCTTGTTTCCCCCCATTACGAGATCTAGAAACCCACACGCTGGGCTGACGTGATATAGAAATGTGCCGAATTTTAACAAACGCTACTTATAATGGCTTTGGTTGAGACTGGAAATATTAAGTAAATGTATAGCTCGCATTCCACTATATATATAGATCAGCGGTTTTCAACCTGTTGATGAAACGACCCTTTCACAGTAGTGGCCAAAGACCACTGGAAAACATATATTCTCTGAAGTAATGAAGTATCAAGATATGGTTGGAGGTTGCCACAACAGGAGGAGCTGTATGAAAAGGTCGCCGCATTAGGAAGATTGAGAACCACTGATATAGGTGTTTCTACAACCATGTTAAGTCACGTTCATGTCTGTTTCAATCACATCTAATCTTCATCCTATTCTTTCTCCCTTTGTTTAAAAAAAAAAAAAACTAACACAGTTTTGACTGTCTCTTTACGACTGTGCTATTTGTTAAGCTTTTTAAAGTTATACTTCTAAAATATTTAAGCTGTGCAAACTGTGTTATTTATCTCATTCGTTGACACATTTTACTTGAGCATATTGATTGTTAAAAGAGCTTGTACTTTCTTTACTCTAAGACAAACCACAATGTTGTGGGGTGGGTTTTCTCTTTTTCATCTAGAAACATGTACGTTAAGTATACACCATAATGACTTATACATGGGAACATTATAACTAGAATGTCATTACACTGGAACCACCATAGGGCATAGAAATAAATGCAGACCATAAACACACGAAGGAGGGAGCTAAACACGGGATTTAAAAAGAGGGGGACTACAAGGATGTGTCTGCATGCACAGGAAGAGGCGACTTGACCATGGCTTGGTTGAGGTTCTATGCTACATTTAAAGTTAAACGGGTAGAAGAAGAAGAAGAAGAAGAAGAAGAAGAAGAAGAAGAAGAAGAAGAAGAAGAAGAAGAAGAAGAAGAAGAAGAAGAAGAAGAAGAAGAAGAAGAAGAAGAAGAAGAAGAAAGAAGAAGAAGAAGAAGAAGAAGAAGAAGAAGAAGAAGAAGAAGAAGAAAGAAGAAGAGCAACAACAACAACAATAACAAAACAAAAAACAACAACAACAACAAAGAAGAAGAAAAAGAACGACGCAGGTTATTATCGTTAGTACGTTTAATCTTAACAGTGTGAACAATATTTTTTCAAAGCCGTTCATTCTAATATTACTTAAGACCGGGAGATTATCTCTACACTATAGTCTCTTCACTTCATACCGTATTTTAGTGTGTGTACAAGACGCCGAGACTGAACGCGAAGCAAATCGAAACTTAACGCGAAGCAAATCGAGACTGAACGCGAAGCAAATCGAGACTGAACGCGAAGCAAATCGAAACTGAACGCGAAGCAAATCGAAACTTAACGCGAAGCAAATCGAGACTGAACGCGAAGCAAATCGAAACTGAACGCGAAGCAAATCGAAACTTAACGCGATGCCGGCTGAAACCGAATTTGAGGCAAACTGAAAATAAAAGTTAGGCAAACTAAAACCGAACAGTGAGCAGATTAAAACCGAACGAGATAGAAACCGAATTTGAGGCCGACTTAACCGATTCGTTGCGGAGACGAGTGTATACAGAATTGTTGCTTGTCACATTTCACAGAATGCGCCCGGTTTTCCTGACACATTCCAATACAGATTACAATATCTTGTATACGTCTTTGTCCTGTGTAGTGTATCGTGTTGTAGACAGGTAAAGGTCTCTTTTACACACGGAAGGCACACTAGGCGTGTTAGGCTAGACTCACATTTCTAGAGACCGGTCACCTGGATAGATGATGTAATCGACATCACGCCGGCCGCCTTTACTTTCCATGACTATACCTGGTACCCAATTAAGGTTGGGTCGACCTTGGAGCCTAGGTCATGTTTAAGGAAAGGATCCGGCATCATGAGAATTTGAATTGTGCAGGTATAACAGACAGACAGACGAACTGGCGGGCGGCTGGATGGATCGATGGATGTCTGGTTTGATGGGTGGATGGATAAATAAATGCATAAATGGGTGAAGGGAGGGCAGAAGGAAGGGGCAGAGAGAGAGAACATTACTTTAGAGAGAGGGAAAACATTACAATCTAAACCTTCTGTTGAGCATTGTCCGGTTAATGTCATTGTGCTTTCTTTTCCCCTCCAGATTGTACCAGCCTTCATCGAGACGACCGGTGGCTTTCTCGCCCAGCGCAGAGATGGGTCTAACGGACATAGAGATGGCCCATAATTTCGACATTGATGACCCATATTTCGATGACCGACAGTACGAGATGGTCTACGAGGTAAGTCTACTTTAATACGTTTTCTTCTTCTTTTTCGCGTTCACCGGCTGTTAACTCTGGTGGAAAGTTCTAGAAGCTCTCCCACCTCTGGCCTTTATACTCTTATTTCATAACCTGAGTATTACGTGCACAATCGTTTTACAGATCTGACTTAACTGTATGCAGACTATTAGTTCCTTGCCTCTCAGCCAGAGGTACTTCGACTTCGAAGGATGCCCCAAATAGTCAATCCCTACTACATACTAATTAATTGATTGAGGAGAAGCTGGCCGAGTGGTTACAAATTCTGGCTCTCATGCGAGAGGCCAGTGTTCGACACCAATAATGTGATGGAGTTTTTATGTGGGGGCAAAATTAAACTTCCTAACTTGCACAGTCCGTGGCGACAGTACTAGCCATGCGGCCCAAATCCCCAGACACAGGCCTCTCTATCTACATCGCCATAAACAGTGGTAAAATAGACAGCAGTGACAGTTTGATAGTGACTTGTTAGATAGGCAGTGGGTCTAATCTTGTTTTCCCCACATCATCATTGTTATCACTTTGAGTGCAACTACTGCTGTTACAACAACAACAACTACTACTACTTACTACACTACGACTACTACTGCTGCTGCTGCTGTTGCTACTGCCACTACTCCTATGAATACAACTACTGTTAATACTACTGCATCTTCTACTACTACTACTTTTGCTGCTACTATTGCAGCTGTTGCAACTACTTCTGCTGTTGAAGTTTGCTACTGTGACTACTATTAATAGCATTCAGATGGTAAGTATCACTATTGTCATCACCGGTACTGTTACTGCTACCAAAATTACCATCACCATCACTGCTACTTCAGTTTTTATCGTTATTAATACTACTTCTGCTTCTGCTATTATTATTACTTGTACTGCAGTTATTATCATTCAATTTAATGTTGAAGCTGCTACATATTGCAAAACCTTCTGACTTCTATTCTTTGTAATTAGCGTGTTAAGGGCGGTTCCCATTACGCCCACACGCGCCTGCGCGCACACACACGCCTGCGCGCACACACACACGCGCCTGCGCGCACACACACACGCGCCTGCGCACACACAAAGGTAGACCCATATGTTTATTGTTACAATGTTCTTTTATTTTCAACTTCTTTATCTCCACCCACCAACACAGTTGGAACACATTTTCTTCTCCTTCGAGTACGGTTGCACACATCTTGATAAATTATGCTGTTATTCCCGATTTGTCAGTTTTTCATATCGATCCAGATAAATTGGTCTACACTGGAATACTGTTATTGTTATCAGTAAACTTTTTTTTTATTCCTTGAATCGAATATCTTCCACACCGAGCCATTTTCTTTCCAACTTACTCCCTGTCTTCTCCTTCCCCATACAGCCGCTCCCCAACAAGATAGAATTACCCTCTCTGTTAGATTGATTTACAACTGAACCTAGCTAGGAAAGGAAGGGCCAAACCTTTTTGTTTTGCTTTTGTTAAGTGGTTTTCAGCGGCCTCATACTGAGAGCAATTGCAGGAATACTTATAATTCAGTTGCTTTTATTTGGAAGGGCATTAAACCATTATTGAGTGCCTTGCCGACTGGCGTGGACGATCGTAGGTATCAAACTGGCTGTGGTAAGAGTCGATCTAATTGGCCCTGCTTTGATGATTTGTTCCTACAACGAAGCGTATTTTGAGATGAGAACAATACTAGAGGACAATCGCGCTTACCATACAGCCACGTCAAGCATGACCATGGATGTAGCCGCTGCTTTTAGAGCACTAGCGTGGATATCCGAGCAAACCGCCACACAGACAGTTATTGTATCAGACCACGAATATGCTTCAGAAGATAGCAACAGGCGGTGTGCACTCTGAATGGGTAGAAAGCATTCGAAAATCGCCTGGGTCTAACACACGTGATCATGCGGGCGTAAAGGGTAATGAGCGAGCCGACCAGCTGGCAATCAATGCACCAACGCATGTAAGGAAGTAGCATGGACACAAGAGATACCATCAACGCTGTACGGACTGGGCTAGTGGATAATAAGGAATCCCTAACACTTAACACGACTGCGTGACATGGGAGTTCACCACAGTAAAAGCACGTCTGTGTCTTTAGAGGCCGAGATAGGAAATATTATAACCACCTCCTCATGGGAACAATTAGTAAAAGTACATTAGAGTGGCTGCTGCATCGGAGGACTGAACACGCACGGGAATGCCCAAGATGCCGTGACATCGACTGTGATAACAAATAACATAACATTATTTTGAGATGCCAAGTTCGAATCCGGCTGTCCCGGCCAGCTGATACTTTAAAATAACAAGTACCAGGTTTAAGAATCTGAGAGAGGCGAATTACAGAAATACTGAGTTATACTGGTGTATCTTTCGGAACGCAAAACTTGCATCCTCTCTGTCTGTGTATGTATTTTTTTAACATGGTACTTGTTATTCTGAATGTATCGACTGGCTGGGAGAGACATTAAAAAAAAAAAACGAAAACACTATCTAAGTTACAACCCGCAACCTCCTCGTCGCCCTCCTCATTCCTCAATCTGTTGCAAGTTTACACGAAATTAGTTCCTACCCAACGTCGTAATCAGACATTCCTCTCCCTCGCCGCGTTTACCGACTGTAACCTCCGGCGGAAAGTTCTAGATGTTTGTCCACTTTTGGACACTGGTCGTGAGCCAGAACTTGAATTTTGCAAGCATACCTTGTTAAAGTATCTAGCTCATTTCTACGCAGACTATTGGTTTCTTACCTCTCGAGCATGAGTACTTCGTCTTCGAAGGAATCCACACTGATTACTCGCCTTTCACGACCTGCTTTTCTTGGGGGAGGGCAAAGAAGTGGATCACTTCTTTCTCACCCCCTCCCCCACGTGAGGCCAGAGAACCCACACGGGAAAATCGGATACTAAACTCTGGCTCGAAAACAGTTCCCAACTACTCTTGTTTGTCTCCTCTCTCTAGATCAGTTGTCTCCCCTAACAGACTTGCTTTAACGACGCCAAGGATAATGCTTTTTATCACGGCATAGGCTGTTTCAGTTCATCAATGGTTCGACTATCCTTTCACCAGTGGTAGGTTTTGTCTGTGTTTCTCTGTGTCTTTATCGTCTCTTCTAGCTAGGGTTGACTGTAATGGGTTTGTGACTTAATGTCGAAGCTCACGAAAGTAAGATAGTCCAAAGCAGGCCAAATGAAATTCTGTCTGCATTGGAATTGGAAAAATGCTAAACCCCCCCCCCCTCCCCCCACCGTATAACCACGAATGCACTGTAATATCTCTTTGATTTGCCTATACTTGCAAGGAAAATAACTCCCTAACCGTATTTCGTTGTTTTTTCATTAGCCGCATACTAGGAAGTTTATAACAACATATAGGTTTAAAACAACAATTGGCGCCGTCTTCACACTGGAGGTTGGTTGTAACGGATATATGTGTAGCAGCTGCTGTATTGGGGAATATTGTGTAATGAGGTGTCAGTCGTTACACATCAACCCTATATGTTAGTTGCGTATCTCTTACATGACATAGCAGAATGAACACAGGCAATGTTTGACTGTTGTGGTTTACTTGTCAAATTTTACGTTCAGCAGTTTTGCCATTAAAGAAGGAATGGGAGAAGAAGAAGAAGAAGAAGAAGAAGAAGAAGAAGAAGAAGAAGAAGAAGAAGAAGGGTGAGGAAGGATGAGGAAGAGGAGGAAAAGAAGAAGACAAAGAACCTAAAGAAGATGAAGATAAAGGTCAACTATAAATATTTAGTAGAGACTGGCAATGAACAGAAAGTGCATGAAAGAAATAAAATGAGACTTTTAAATATTCCAGCTTTATTAAAGGGCATACCACTGTTTTAACAACGAGTCCAGGACAGTCATACTAGAAAGAAAATTAACGATACGAATGGGAGGGTGACATCAATATATGACATGAACAGAAGAGACGGTACCTGACTTCTACATTTTTTCAAATAGCAGTTCTTAAACCCCATTTTCAAGTACCGTAACTATCACATTGTTTTTGTGTTTTGTTTTTGTTTCTGTTAAGACTAAAAGCCGCGCCTCTGTGATTCAGTACAGCTGTTCTAACTAGCATCAGTGTGCCAGCACTTAGCTGCTTATTTTCTCTTATTATCAAGCGGATTCTCTTTGCTTTATTCTCCTAAACCACTCCAGGCTTCTGTCTCGCTCTTTCAAACGCTGATTCTGGTCCTGGTGTCACAACTCCCTACAAGTCTCCCTCTTTCTCTTTCTCTCTTCTCTCTCTCTCTCTCTCTCTCTCTCTCTCTGTCTTTCTCCCTCCCTCCCTCTCTCTCTGTCTTTCTCCCTCCCTCCCTCTCTCTCTCTCTGTCTGTCTTCCCCTCCCCTCTCTCTCTCAAACTTGCTTTTTTTATCATGCTCTTTCTCTCTCCATCTTTCTCTCTCACGCCTTTTTCTCCCCCTTTCTCTCTCCGTCTCTCTCTCTCTTTCTCTCTTTGTCTGTCTTTCTCTCCCCCCCCCCTCTCTCTCTCGCTTGCTTTTTTTTATCATGCTCTTTCTCTCTCCATCTTTCTCTCTCACACTTTTTTCTCCCCCTTTCTCTTTCTCTCTCTGTCTCTGTCTTCCCCTCCCCCCTCTCTCTCAAGCTTGTTTTTTTATCATGCTCTATCTCTCTCTATCTTTCTCTCTCACGCTTTTTCTCTCCCCCTTTCTCTATTCGTCTCTCTCTCTCTCTCTCAAGCTTGTTTTTTTAATCATGCTCTATCTCTCTCCATCTTTCTCTCTCACGCTTTTTCTCTCCCCTTTCTCTGTCCGCCTCTCTCTCTCTCTCTCTCTCTCTCTCTCTCTCTCTCTCTCTCTCTCTCTCTCTCTCTCTCGCCTTCACACATTTCTCACTGTATTTCTCTTGTGCTCAAATCCCCCTTCCCTTTCTCCAACTATTTATCTCTACTTCAATTCTTTTGTCAGCTTAACGTATATTCTTAGATAACGTATATTCTTAGATAACGTATATTCTTAGAT